ATAAAATAATTCTCACGACGTTTCGGCCACAACGCAAGCAGCCGTCCTCAGGTGAAGACCAGGTCTGTCGGGGAGACAGCGACAGACCTGGTCTTCACCTGAGGACGGCTGCTTGCGTTGTGGCCGAAACGTCGTGAGAATTATTTTATCTGTCGGGGAGACAGCGACAGACCTGGTCTTCACCTGAGGACGGCTGCTTGCGTTGTGGCCGAAACGTCGTGAGAATTATTTTATTATGTTTTATTTTTATTATTTTATTATCTCCCTTCTACGTGACTTTACCGAAAGAACCAAGAAGATGAATCCCTGCAGTCACGAAAGCTTTACATCGAAGTTCAACGTTGCGTACGTGCCTCCTCCTCGTTGTCTCTCTGTGCATAAAAACGTCAATCGCCTTCACCGTCCGGGTGCTGATAAAAAGGCAACGTCAGTAGCTCCGAGTACGTCCCGGAACCGTGGTGATTTTATTCACGAACATTTAGCCCTCATTACGTATCCGTCACAATAACAGTCGTAATTGGTTGGCGTAGCTTGGCCCAAACGAACAGCCAATTCATTCACACAACCAATGGCTACGCACATATTGAACGTGACGGAAATGTTCAGCCAATATTGTGGAAATTCCCGAATGCTGTTTTGTAACGAGTAATTTCGATCCGATTACCAATTACTCTTCGGCAGGGGTAATAGCTTACGTAATCTCTTACACCAATTTCCCAGAGTGCTGTTTGCGTTACGATATTTTAATGATTTTACATGTTAATGCGTTTGCTTCACTGTGCAGTGTTTAAAATCAAAAGTAATCATGCCATGCTTAAGCGAGTGCATTGCAATATCATACTTACAGATGATGATGATGACTAAACGAGCGACGATTGATGCATTTTTGGGAGAACAAGAACGTTACAATTTGGCACAACCTTAGTTGAGGCTATACTTATAATAAGAACAATAGAAGAGGCAAAATATAATAATTTTAGCCCCACGAAAATGACATCCCAGAGGTTGATTGGCTTCACTCTGAAGGCAGAATCAGCATAAAGTAATACTGGTAGGAACCTCCTGGTTACACCAGCCCACAGGGGATTATTATGTCCGTCCGTCGTGCAGGGAGGGGCTGGGTGGGGAGGGAGGGGCTGGGTGGGAAGGGGAGGGTGAGGAGGGGTTGGGTGGGGGAGGTGTGGCTGGGTCGGGAGGGGAGGGTGGGGAGGGGCTGGGTGGGGAGGGGCTGGGTGGGGAGGGTGGGGCTGGGTGGGGGGTCGGAGGGGTGGGGCTGGGTGGGGAGGGACTGGTCACCCCGTGGTGCCCTTATAAAACTCAACGTTTAACCTACTCACGCCGGCTTGTGCCCGTCCTCACAGTCGGCCATATTTGCGGAATACACCACGCCGCCGTTGACCCTGGCCATTGACCGAGCGACCCGACGTTCCTACCAGCTCCCTCCGCAGGAGGAATGTGTTCCGGTGCTCTATGCCTCAATATACGTGAACTCCGTGAGCAGTGAACCAAGTAACATGCCTCCCGTGGCACGTGATTATCTATTTATTCTAGATTTGAAGCTTTCGTGACTGCAAGAATTCATACTCTTAGGTTTTTTCGGTAAAGTCACGTAGGTAAAAAAAGAATAATAAGAATAAATAATAAATATTTTATTTATTTTTATTATTTATTCTCTATTTATTATTTCTGTGCCAGCATCTTTACAGTCGCATCATCATTGCCATAGGTCAATATCGATCCACTGCTGGATGAAAGCCCGCAAGGGGCCGTCCTTAAATGACGTCACGCACCTAGGGGGGGGGGGGGTCAGACATTTGTGACGATGCGTGACGAGGGGGGGGGGTTGAGAAATATGACGTCACATCAAATGCGCAACTTTAAATGAATATAGACAACATATTCTACTTAATTAAATACGCACTACAATGACAATAGTTTTAGTTTAAAGCGATTTGAAGCATTTTATTTTCAAAATAGAAATATGGTTTTGGGGGGGGGGCAGAGCTTTGTGACGTCATATTTGAGGGGGGGCGGTCTGACTTTTTGCGACGCCGTGTGACGAGGGGGGGGGGGGGGTAAAAAATCGTCCATAATCGCGTGACGTCATTTATGGACGGCCCCAAAGGCCCCGCGCTGCTGCGAACCTTCTCGCTCCGTCACGCCGCAGGTGGGCGTAGATGCGAACTGCCTCGCCTGGTGCACACGAGGTCGTGGGTTCGTTTCCGACCCCTGACGATGCCCTGCCATGTTTGTAGTTTGCGTGCCTCGCTCTCCGCGGTGGCGTGGATCTACCCTCCGGGTTCCTCCGCTTTCTTTCTCCTCCACATTCATAACGAACGTCACGCGTTCAGAGTATCTGGCTGCTATAACTTGCCGCACACGATGAGCCACTTCGTTGCGCTATCATACGTGGCCGGGTCGCATCTGAAAAGGAGCTATTAACTGGGCCTTACCTGTTCAAATGAAATAAAAAAACATTGTCTAGTTTTAGTTTAGCTTTGCACGTGAGCCTCTATCATCGCTCTATCTCCGCGGTGGCGAGCCTCTATGGTGTGATCCGTCCTTTGGCCGGCATTCCATCGCCCGGCTTGGCCATTCTGCTATCACCCCCTCCCAGAGATGCGTCCTTCTAAACAAACCAACTCACGTCTATACCATGGGAACCTCATTTGCCAGTTAAAATATGATAATTGGTTTTTTACCCTTCTATCTGGCAACAAAACTGTCACCTTTTTACAAGAGCCTAGTCTCACATGGGTTGGACCAGATGACGCCTAAAGGTGCCTTTTGGCGTCATCTGAGGAAAGCTGTCTCGGGTGTGGACCAATCAACTTCAAGGACAGTGCACATTATCAAAGTTATTTTTTTGTTTGCATTATGATTGCAGGTATTGTGGTCTATGCAAACATGACTCCTTGTAAAAAGGTGTCAGTTTTGTTGCCAGATAAAAGGGTCAAAAAACAATTATCAACTCACGTCTCTTAACGCAGTGCGACGGGCCTCTGAGTTGGATGTGGTCCCTGATCCACGTGGTTTTGTCTCTTTGCCTCTAAATGCGATTCCAAGCATGCAACCTATTCACGCTTCTCTGCGCACTTTGCAGCTTTTGTTCAATTCCAACGTCCCCATGTATGATCTGTGCGTCACGCTGGGCAATGCGCTGATTATATACCTTCCTTAGTCACACGGGGACGTTACTTTTCATGATAACATTCTATTATATTTTTTGTGAAAGGCACTCCAATCTGCTCTCGTTATATATTTGTTTATGCAAACAACACGAACAAGGAAAATGTAATTGCAAAAGGGTCAAGGCGCAGCCCTGCAATTGCTCGCTCACGCCACTGCCGGCGGAAGGTCCTCCGCGAGAGGGAGCTCTCGAGATCCGAGGGTATTTTTTTTATTTCTGCTCTTCCAGGCTGGCCAGACGTCTCGGTAGAGGTGGCAGTAACCACACTTGACCGCACCACCGGTGACCTGCCGATGGACTCGCTGTGGTGTAACTCATTCACACCGCCGGGTGGAGAGGGGTGGTGGTGGTGGTGGTGGAGGGTCGTCGGGGATTTAAGAAATTGGGTGCTGTTGAATTTCGATTTAAAGCTTTCGTGACTGCAGGGATTCATCTTCTTGGTTCTTTCGGTAAAGTCACGTATAAGGAAAATAATAAAATAATAAAAATAAAACATAATAAAATACAATTCTGTTCTTCACCTGAGGACGGCTGCTTGCGTTGTGGCCGAAACGTCGCGAGAATTGTATTTTATTATGTTTTATTTATATTATTTTATTATTTCCCTTCTACGTGACTTTACCGAAAGAACCAAGCAGATGGGTGCCGTTGTTTCAACTTGCCACGCCGGGAGATCGAAGCGGCGACCTCTGGATCACAAGTCCAGTATGCCAACCGTTTCAGTGTGACAGCATCCTGGTTTTTAAAATAATGGTTCTAATAAAGTCTGGGGGAAAAAGCCACTAAAAAAAAACAACTAATCCATAAAGCAGGACTCTCGTGAAAACGAATATTAGACTCAGTGAGGCTTTCCTGGATAAATGAAAGACACGAGTAATATGAAAGTCATAAAAAAAAAAGCAGGACTCTCGTGAAAACGAATATTAGACTCAGTGAGGCTTTCCTGGATAAATGAAAGACACGAGTAATATGAAAGTCATAAAAAAAAACCAACGATTAGAACGGCTAAATACATGTTTGATGCTTTTAGACGTTTATTTGTGTGTTGTCTAGCCGCTGATGCGTATCCAATTGAGAGTGTATATGTGTATTTGCTGAGTGCGTGTACATATGTGAGAATGAATGCGTGTATGTGTGTGTGTGTGGGACGCGGTAGTCTAGTAGTTAGCATGCTGCGCTACCCGAGATCGATTCCCACTCACAGCCACCAACACCGGTGACGATTATCTGAACTGGGTCTCCCCTAGGTCGACTCAGACTTAAATGTGTACCTGGTGCTGTGTGTATACATCGCCACGAGGGAGACAAAGGCGGCCAGGCGTGGATGTGCCGTGCCGGTCATCATAGGAGCTCGTGAACAGCACTTGCCCAAACAGTCTGTGCAATGCTAGACGGGGGGACCTTTGCGTGCGGAAGAGCGTGCATGCGCGTGCGAGAGTAGATGTGTACGCGAGCGTGCATGCGCGTGCGACTGTGCACGCGTTCGTGTCAATTTGAGTGCGTGCGAGTACGTGCAAGGGCGTTCCTCTACGTGCGTGTGCGCGTGTGTGCGCGTGTGTGCGTGCGTGTGTGCGTGAGGATGGGCAAAAACCCAGCGGTTGCCATAGCTACAGGAGCTGGCAGCGAATGTGGGGGGGGAGGGGGACGAGAGGATGGAAGGGAGAGATTTACAGAAAAGCCACATTGAGAGAGAGAGAGACGCGCAGCCACAGAGACGCTGCTCACAGGGAGCAGGGGAGGCAGAGAGAGAGAGAGAGAGCTCGCCAGAGAGACGGGAGGAAGGGAGGGAGGGAGGGGAGAATCACTCGAGACGAGACAGAGGACATCGGAGGAGCCAGAGGGTAAACTGCAGGCAGGGAAGAGATCGCGAGGAGACGCGGGTGGGGCGAGCGAGCGAGCGAGCTGGAGGGCGGGCGGGCGCGGTTCTGTGAGCGAGGCCGATCGAAAGCAGCATGAACCTCGAATGCCCATGGACATGCGCACAGGTCGGTCCTGGCGTTGACTTCAGTTCCGCCGGCTTTGTGCGAACGCACGGCACGAGCGAGCGTGTGCACGAGTGAGTGAACGCGAGGGAGAAGACGAAGGGAGAAGAGGAGGAAGGAGGAAGGAGGAGGAGGTGGAGTACACGAAGAATATATTTTTAAGGGAAATTCGATTCGTGCAGTTTTGCTCGTTTTTTTTTGTCATTCCTCGGGAAGAATCCGCGATGCCGCGCGCGTCAAAGGAGGGCAGAGGGTTCGAGGTGTCGTCTGGCGCGGCTCCCCTGCCCGTGCGCTCGTGAAGAGGAGCCTCCCCGCCGGAGTTTGGGGGACCTGACGCCGGGCATCTCACGCGACAGGTAACACGCCCGACACAAAGACACAGATCCCCCGTGAAGCCATTAACAGAGTGTTGGGGCAAGTGCAGTAACGATGCTGGCAGGCACGGCACGCGACGGGGTGGGTGGTCAGCTCCACGCCCGGCCGCCTTTGTCTCCCCAGTGGCGATGTTCTTACGCAACGCAAAAGGTACTCATTTGAGGCTGAGTCGACCTAGAGGAGGACCAGGACCGGTTCAGATAATCGTCAGTGGTGTTGGCCGTGAGCCGGAATCGAACTCGGGTCGCCAGGTTTGCAGCGCAGCGCGCTAACCGCTTCGCCACCGCTCCCACACACACGCAAGGACACACGCACTGACACACGCACTGACACACGCACTGACACACGCACTGACACATGCACTCACGCATACACGCACTCACGAATGCACAAGCAAGCACACGTTTTCACACATACACATGCAAACATGTGCACACACACACGTACATGTACTCAGGCCATGAACATATATGCACTCACAAGGTCACATAAATGCAATGGACAAACGTACACACTCACTCAGGCTGTTGGGGCAAGGGCTGTTAGCGAGCACTTGTGATGGTCAGCACGCCACGCGTACATACACACACACACAAACATGCAGACACATACAATAACGTGTACGCACACGGACGGGTACGCACAAATACGTGCATACGTACACATGCCCCTGCAGATGCACACATACATACGTACACACGTACACACACACACGCGTGTACACAGATGAACACAGCGGACAGCAAGCATGTACTCATGGATACTTGTTTGAACGATAAACTCACGCGCACACACGACCGCACGTACATACACACGCGAACTCACGCATATACTTGCACGTACACAAATGCACTCGTACATTCACACGGACTAAGACAAAGATCCCCCGTATAGCCTTCGACAACAGACTGTTGGGGCAAGTGCTGTTAGTGAGCACCTATGAAGGCCGGCACTGTGCAAACATGGGTGGGTGGTCAGCACCACGCCCGGCCGCCTTTGTATCTCCAGGTGCTTATGTTTACACCAGGTACTCATTTAAGGCTAAGGCAACCTAGGGGAGGCGAAAGTCCGGTTCCAATATTCGCCACTGTTATTGGTCATGAACGCAGTGGACTGATTCCAAAGAACACAGGATGACTAACCACTATCCTACCGCTCACCACATACTCACACACACAAACATATATACAACAACAACAACACCTCTACATATTAATTAATAACACTGCCTTAAAATTAAAAAAATAAATAGAAATAGGCTACGTTTCGGGAAATGACCCCTTTCATCCGTGGCCTGACATGCGAGTTTATTTATTTGAAGGCCACGGTGTTATTGACGAATGCCAAGACTGTCAACAGAGCAGCAGCAGCAGCATTACCAAATAGTGCGTTCACTCACACGTATACAAAGACAAAGAACCCCCGTATATAGCCTCAACAGACTGTTGGGGCAAGTGCTGTTAGCGTTCAGCGATGAAGGCCGGCACGGCACAAGAAGGGCGTGTGGGTGGCCACCACCGTTCCCAACCGTGCTTATCTCCTCAATGCTGCACCGATGTTTAAAACCCGTACAGAGTACTCATTTAAGGCTGAGTCGACCTAGGGGAGGCCCGGTACCGGTTCAGATATTTGTCACCGACGTTGGCCAAGCGCAGTGCGCTAACCAGTACGCCACCGCTCCCCCCGCCCCACTGCAGAAAGACAAAGATCCCCCGTGTAGCCTTAACATGCGGTTGGAGCAAGTGCTGTTAGCGAGCACCTATAAAGGCCGGCAACACGCCCGGTCGCCTTTGTCTTCCGATTGGCGATGTTTTTGTACCCCACCAGGTTCTCAATTGAGGCTGAGTCGACCTAGGGGAGGCCCAGCACCCGTCTAAATAATCGACACACGTGTACAGAGACACACACACGTGAACACGCGGACCCTGCAAGTGTGTTAACGCTGAAGCGTAGAGACATTGCGATTACGCGGCGCGAATGACCGTGCGTGTGTTTGATACGAGCAGCTGTTGCAGTGTGTAAGCATCAGCGCTGGGGAGACAAAGGCGGTCGGGCGTGGTGCTAGCCACCCACCCCCCTCGTGTACCGTCCCGGCTCTTTCAAAGCTGCTCCGCTAACAGCACTTGCCCCAACAGTCCGTTGAGGCTACACGGGTGGATCTTTGTCTTTGTTGTGCACATGCGTGCTCACTCACGGCAGACACACCGCTCCCCCAATGGCACACGAACGAGACAATCACTATCACAGCCGCGCCGAGCCATCCATTCACGGGCGCTGGTAATGACTGCACACGCGGGCGCGCGCATGCACGCGCGCTCTTGGGAGATAAAAGCTGATAGGCCATTGTAAGTCGTATTAGCTAGTATCAATGCAGAATTGGCATTGACTTTGTGTGTGCTGTTGTGTTGCGTACACGTGCATTCATGGTACGCGCGTGTATACCGTTGATGTCTGGTGTGGTTTTGTGCATTTATAGTCATATAAATGGAATTAAGATGATGATTATTAAGTTGATGTTAATGATGATGATTATTATAATATTAATTATGATAGCAATGATGGTGCCATAACGATGATGAGTATTATTCATGTGATCACGAATTCATAATTACGACGAAGATGACATCATGAAGACAACAATGACGATCAGGATTACGATGATGGCGGTGACGCAAACGACGATGATCGTGAACAATTTAATGCTGGTAACGAGACAGCGATGGTGATGAATGCGAGGATGCTCGTGGTGATGCCAATGACGATACATGCGACGATACAAATGATGGCAACGATGAAGGCAGCGACGATTTATAGCGACGATGACGACGACGTTGATGCAACGGCACCGATTTGCTGATAAGAGATCCCCTTCAATCCAATGAACCATCATCTCAGTTTCAACCACGGGAGAGAAAAAAATACCACGAAGCAAATTGGGCTCCTCTTTATATCCATTCCCATTGTTAAAAGCGGCACAAATATGCTCGACTGTGGCGTTTCACAGTAAATGGAGCCACTGCGCTCTTAATAATTCAAGACTCTAAATGCATTCATTTTTTCCTGACACGGGGGAGATTGATTTGGGATTGTGGTGGTGGTGGTGGTGTGTGGCGGTGGTCGACTGCCTTTTGTAATTGGATTATCGAACACGGGGTTGGTGGCTGTGTTTTATTTCACGATGTATTGATGGACAGGGGGAAATAGAAGTAAGCGGTGGTGTTGGGTCTAGGGATGGAAACGGCGCCCTCACTGCAGAAGGGAAGGACGGGGCGATGAAATCGGCTCGCGTTGCATGCGCCAGGCGGAGCATTTGCATGGCAGGATCGTGAGAAATGATGGCAAAGGGCTTTCGGGTAGACGCTCATCCAGCAGTGGATTAATAATGGCTGATGAAATTACCCAAGCACGCATGAGTACGTGGCCTTGAATAAATGTCGTCTCGTTGTTACGTATCGACAGCTGTGCGATCCACTTCCCACACCCCCCCCCCCCCCATCGGACTTGCCATTTGAAACTTTCACGGAAAATCTTGCATCATTGTCAGCGTTGCCATCTATTATTCTCGTTCTGTAAGAGCAGAGATCGGTGTTTGGAATGAGCAATGCGAACTACCTTGCGATGCACGTGTGTATGCAGCACGATCATAAATGCTGGCGAGCCACGGTTACGGTGTTCACGTATAGTAGTAGTGGCATTATTGTGTCCATGTGCATTGGCGGAACGGTGGTGCAGCGGTAAGCGCGCGGCGCTATAAACAGGCAAATACCTCAGTTCGATTCCCAACCAGGAATGATGACAGTGAGCCTAATCCTAACCCAACCTTCACCAACCAGCTAAAGGCCAGCGTGGTGAAGTATGGTCAAACAATCCCTTGATCCGGCTGTGAATTGGCGAATGGGAGCTGTACATTACAAGACAAGACTCCCCCGTGTAGCCTTTAAGAGGATGTTGAAGTGCGGTTAGCAAGCACATACAAAGGTCACGCGGGGCTAACGGCCGCCTTTGTCTCCCCAGTACTGATGTTTACACACTGCACGAGGTACACATTTGAGGCTGAGTCGACCTAGGGGAGGACCAGCACCGATTACAATATTATTCTGTTAATGGCAGTGGGCGGGGATTGAACTGAGGTCGTCAGGTTTGTAGCACAGTGCGCTCAACACTGCACTACCACTCCCCACTACACAATACCATACATATTACATACAGCGCACACGTGTGCAGTATGAGTATGTGTATTGTGTCGACAAGGATGTGAGTGTGTGTGTCTTGGTGCGCTACGGACCCGGCAACCCGAGTTCGATTCCCGCTCGCGGCCACCAACAGCAGTGACGACTATCTGAACCGGTCCCGGGCCTCCCCTAGGTTGACTCAGCCTCAAATGATTACCTGGTGCGGTGTGTAAGTCGCCACTAGGGAGACAAAGGCGGCCGGGCGTGTTGCTGACCACCCAACCCCTCGTGTGCCGTACCGACCTTCATAGTTGCTCGCTAACAGCACTTGCCCCCAAGTCTGTTAAGGCTATACGGGAGATCTTTGTTTGTTTTGTTTGTGTACACTGCATCACGACACCGGGGGGAGCGCTCGTGTAGTGGTTTAGCGCACTGTCGCCACGGACCCAGCCACCCGAATTCGTCTTCTGGTGCGTTGTGCAAACATCGCCATGAGGGAGACAAAGGCGGCCGGGCGTGGTTCTGGCCGTACCACCCCCTCGTGTGCCGTAGGGACTTGCTCCCAACATCCTTAGACATCACGACTCTTGTCTTTCTAGCGGTGCCCAGCGAACACTCTGCCAAGTTATATACTTTCTATAAAAACTCTACGCATATCTCTAATTGTTTTCATTATGAAGGGCACATTACTTTAGTGCATAATAATAGCGTTAATAATTGCTTACCTGACAGGAGAAAATGAAATGATTAGCTCAGATTTGAGGTGAGTGCTCACATCATCGTCAAACAAGACTGCCGTAATCGCATTCTTATCATCATCGCATTAAAATATAATCATCTTCGGTAGCAGTAGCTGTGAACTATCCCAAGGCCGTAATTATAATATATATATTGGGGGGGGGACACCCCCCCCCCCAATATTCAAATATGCAAAAAATGTCCGCCCCCCCAAATATATTGCTATAAAATAATTTCTGTGTATATGAGTGTGGTTATGGTTGTACTTTATTAATCCCTAATCTCTGCCATTACATACAATGAAACAAGAAAAGGTGAAAAGGAAAAAACAGAGCAATGTAATACAATACACTATTAGACATTATTGTAAAAAATAAATATAAAGTCCATCCTATGTGTTAGTGAATTTTTTATATTTTATGCAGGAAATTCGTTTTCAAATTTAGATTTTTTTTCTGGGGGGGGGGACCCCAAACCCCTGGAAGATTTGATCCCCCCCAATGTTGACTCCATGGCTACGGCCTTGATCTCTCCACTGCTGGATGAATGCTTCAGAACGTCGTCTGTTTGTCGGGATTCCACCGTCCGTCTCACTCCTGCGGGCTGACTCACCGATTCATTCCACTCACCGATTCATTCCACTCACCGATTCATTCCGCCTCCACGTGTTGCTCCCGTCGGGGGAAGTCTCCCTCGTGTGGCTCACATTCCGTCACCGGCCTCGTCCCTCCTCTACGATAGTCGCTGCCCAAACCCACGTCTCTTAAAATAACACGGGAGGGTATTTAATTGAAATTTGATTGCAGATATGAGGGCGTACAAACGGTAAATTGAACCTTCTCGGATCGGCCGATGACAGTTATTATAACAATCAGTGGTAATGGCCTATCGATTAAAACACGTCTGCGTTATATAATTATTATCATCACCATAATTTAAAACGTATCATCGTCTCAGACTAAAAAAATACCCTCGTAATATCGCTATAATATTGTGCACTTAAATAAAATGCATCATCCTCAACAACACATCGTCATCATCATCATAGCTCAAATCACACCTCCACAATTTCATTATCATCTAGGTCTAAACCACATCTCTCCAATATCACCATCATAATCATGATCCGAAACACGCAGACGCATCGTCAATTATTTTAAACACATCATCATCATCTTAAAACACCACCATTTCAAAGCACAAAGCCACATTTTCATTATCACCACGAAACCCACATTTACAGCACACATCCACACCGCTACTGCCCATTGAACAGCACACGCTGAACAGAGCAGGGACAAAGATCCCCCCGATAGCCTTCAGGCTATACGGGGGAGGGGAAGGGGGCCCTGCACAGAGGCCGATCTTTGGTCACCGCTGGCACCAGCCATCGGAAAGTCCACTCAGCCCCATTATCCTCCTGTGCCACGTCAGTCCCCTGAGTCGCTCGCATAGGCGAGTGGAGGGGGGGGGTGTGTTTGGCGGTGTACGATGTTTCGGAGCAAACTGAGTGACCGTCGATCAGCCGCGAGTCGGCAGAGTGAGCAGTGGCCGTGAGCGCGCGCGTGGCGCCGTGTCCCAGACCCGTTGTTTGCTGGTTCTGTCCTCTCGCTCCTAATCCCCATGATGTGTTTCTATCTCTCCCTCTCTCCCTCTCTCTCTCACCGTCAGCGAGGCCCTATGGGTTAAGCCATCGGAGGCGTATGGAGATTTCGGCTTGTTCATTCGCAGGTAAGGCTCGTCGCGGTTGGGCTGTGTGTGTGTCTGTCTGTGTGTGTCTGTGTGTCTGTCTGTGTGTGTGTCTCTGTATGTGTCTGTCTGTGTGTCTGTCTATGTGTGTCTGTGTGTGTGTGTCTGTCTGTGTGTGTGTGTGTGTCTGTGTGTGTCTGTGTGTCTGTCTGTGTGTGTCTGTCGGGCGTGGTGCTGGCCACCCACCCCCTCGTGTACCGTTGTGGCCTTCATAGGTGCTCGCTAACAGCACTTGCCCCTACAGTCTATTAAGGCTATACGGGGATCTTTGTCTTTATCTTGTGTCTGTCTGTGTGTTGTGGGGAGCGGTAGTGTAGCGGTTAGCGCGCTGCACTACGAACTTGGCGACCCGGGTTCGATTCCCGCTCACGGCAAACACCAGTGACGATTATCTGAACTGGTCCTGGGCCGCCCCTAGGTTGACTCAGCCTCAAATGAGTACCTGATGCGGTGTGTAAACATCGCCGCTAGGAAGACAAAGGCGGTCGGGCGTGGTGCTGGCCACCCACCCCCTCGTGTGCCATTCCGGCCTTCATAGGTGCTCGCTAACAGCACTTGCCCCTACAGTCTGTTAAGGCTATATGGGGGATCTTTGTCTGGGTGTGTCTCTGTGTGCGTGTGTGAATGGGGAGCGGTGGTGTAGCGGTCAGCGCGCCGCGCTACCAACACAGCCGCCCGAATTCGATTCCCGCTCACGGCCAACACCGGTGACGATAATCTGAACTGGTCCTGGGCCGCCCCTAGGTCGACTCAGTCTCAAATGAGTACCTGGTGCGGTGTGTAAACATCGCCACTAAAAAGACAAAGGCGGCCGGGCGTGATGTTGGCCACCCACCCCCTCGTCTGCTGTGCTGGCCTTCATTAGATGCTTGCTAGCAGCACTTGCTCCAACAGTCTGTTAAGGCTATACGGGGGATCTTTGTCTTTGTTTGTTGATATTGATGATAATGGTAACAGTGTCGGTGGAAGCACAGCGGTCACAGGGGGACACGTCATACTCGCTGACACCACTCACATCCTCAACGGCGCGCACAGACATACACACACACAGACAGACATACACACAGACATACAGACATACACACAGACACACACACAGACATACACACATACACACAGACACCTTGCTTTAGCACTCCCCTTGCGTTCCGCACGCACAGCAGACTGTGACTTACAGTGAGTGCCGCGCACAAAGACAAAGCTCCCCCGTATAACCTTCAACAGGCCGTTGGAGCAAGTGCTGTTGGCTAGCACCAGCGAAGGCCGGCACGGCACACTACTACGACTCAAGTGCAGCATTATTGCCACACACTGGCAATTGTATATTACTGAGTCATATATTATTATAGTACCATATATGTGTTTTTTTATAATGATGATTATATGACAATGTTATATTGCAACACTTAATATGCATTATTGTTAAATCTAGTTTAGATTTGTAAAGCAAATATATTCAGTGGTAGTCTAAATGCCATAATCGAGGTTTTTTTCGGGGTTTGTGTGCGAGTTCGTCTGAATTACTTGATGGTATTCTCGTGTTGCCCTCGTCAAATCGACAATGTGCCTTCTTGCGTCTCGATGTCTGACCTGTCGGCTACTACTGCTCGTGACGTCCACGATAACAGCTGTAACCATGATCGTCACAATCCGCGTTAGTGTCACCACAATATGTGACGACGGCTGCTGGTACCACACCACTGCTGCCACCACCACCACAATCACTCGCGCAATGCTCGCGTTTGTCGTGACTACCAATAGCCTCGTAAACATGGAACGTTGGGCCAACATCTTCTTGGTTCTTTCGGTAAAGTCACGTAGAAGGGAAATAATAAAATAATAAGCAAATTATTAAAATATTATTTTATTATTTCCCTTCTACGTGACTTTACCGAAAGAACCAAGAAGATGAATCCCTGCAGTCACGAAAGCTGTAAATCAAAAACCACAACAACCACAAGACAACTTAGATTAAAGCCATCAGTCTAACTCCGTACTAATAAAATACAATTCTCACGACGTTTCGGCCACAACGCAAGCAGCCGTCCTCAGGTGAAGAACAGATCTGTCGGAAAGACAGCGTCTGAATGTTGGGCCAACAGTTTCAACCAAATGCCAACGTCGGCCGAACGTTGCATGCTTCCTTGGAGCATACCACCAGTGTCATCCCTGCCATGATCACTACGACGATTACCACCATCAGCGCACCACCGCCATCACGAACACGATCACCTCCATTCTGGATTTGAAGTTTTCGCGACTGCAAGGGATCCATACTCTTTGGTTCTTTCGGTAAAGTCAACGTAGGCATAAAATATAAAATAAATTAAATCACGACGTTTCGGGCGCAACCCCAGCATCCGTCATCAGGTGGGACAAACTACAGCAGCAATAAATAATTGTTTCTTGAAACGTCGTGATTTAATTTATTTTATATTTCATGCCTACGTGGACTTTACCGAAAGAACCAAAGAGTACGATCACCTTCAACAACGTTGTCAGATAAATACCATGCGTGTTGTTCATCATGAGTACCCTGTAAGAGGCTTCGGGCACATTTTATCGACAAATATCTTTACACTGCATGGGAGTCAAACTTCTTGGTTCACTGATGATGATGGAGGGGTCGTGCATTTGTAAGGGTTTGTCATGAGAAGTTTTGAGAAGTCACGTGTCTTTGTTTTGACGGGTTGAGATCCCAAGAGAACCCAACAGGGGGATTCTCATTTTGCAACACTGACTAGAGGGTCACCAAAATGATAAAAGCAAAGCAATGAAAGTCAGGCATCCGTGCAGTGACCGAGGAAGCAAATATAATGAAAGCAATGTGGAACATTAGACTGGCCATAATATCCTGTGAAAAACATAAATCGGCCTCTGGGCCATACTGTTTGGTGGCTCACACTAATAAAGTATGTTTTCAGATGTTGCTACTTATACCCAATACCCAGAGACGCGACTATACGCGTGCCAAAATGTCACAATTCTATGAGCCCGTCCAGAACATCATTAATATCTACACCACTCCCTGCATCGGCAGTGTTCTATATGTACGCGATCCCATCTTGATGGCCACTGTAGCTATGGCAATATTAGCAATGACATATTGCTCCTGCTGCTGCCGGCTATTTAAAGATTTTGAGGGCCGACTGCAGACGGTACTGCAGAAGGTACAATAAATACCCAATCATCCAGCGTGTCCCCGATCTTTTCAAAAGTTAAACACAAATTGGGCCTGCATGCTGTTCTTGGATGGGCCAAAATGTATCGCGTAACAGGTGCTGTAGGCTGCCTTGCAGCCGCACACACACAGTGTGTGTGCAGGAGAGTGCAGTGCAGCGAACTCCACTGTTGCAGTGGACTATGATGCTCCCATGCCTTTGCTCGCTGCGTTCACCAACACGCAGTGACCAGCGTGTTGGTGCAGTTTGGTCAAACAAAGCCTACCACCTGCCTGGCATGGAGGAGGCCTTCGTCCAGTAGGTACTTTTACACGAGGCTGAACGTTACACACATTTATATAGATGTGATATATAAGAAAATAATTAACCCGTAAAAACAAAGTTTTTCACTATAAATCCTTTATATGCGTGGCGGCTAGAGTCCTCTCGTCCTCTGGCTTGAGATGGCTGCCACCTATGGGTCAGATGATTGCCTGCCACCATTAAGCAATTGGTAATTAAATATATATATTTTTTCCTAAAAAGTGTAAAGTTATGGAAAAAAAATTCACGAAAATACATTGTCACGCACAACGAGTCTGTGTGCAAAATGTCAGCTCGATTGGATAACAGGAAGTGGGTTAAAAAACGACCGAAAGATTTGCACGGTTGTAAGCGCGCAAGCAAGTGAACTTAATATAAAGGATTTAAAAATATATTTGGTTGTGTAAAAACATATACCACGTGACGAACAGTGAGCAGTTGCCGTGGGAGGATATATTCCTTTGTTCACATTTTTTTAGAGGTTGATGTGATTTTAAAATTAAAAACTAATAATACTTATTAATGATCGTCTACAACCCCTTGTCAATGCAATGTTGTATGAAGGCCTCTCCCATGCATTTCAATCCCTTGCGCATACTTCACTACGCTGGCCATAGTGGGTTGGTGAAAGGAGTGACGCCCACGACTGGTTAAATTATTACTCGCCTCTGATGCTAGCCGAGGCCCGGAATTGAACTTATCATTTACAGTTTTACAGCAAGGCTCGCTAACCACTGCACCACCGCTCCAACACCTCACAAACCACTGTGCGTATTCATTTATAAGAGTAACGTGTTCCGGTGTAGATTCATACTTTGGGTTTTGTAGTCTGCCGACGATGAATATAATGATCGCATTTAAAAATGAATTCTCTCATATATTGCTTTAATTCTGCAGAAGAGAAATTTTCATCTTTATTTCAAAGTACAGAGGTGGACTGCGTTCAGATATGTGGCCTGGAACTAAACTTAGGTCATCCGGATCGTCGGGCAGGGCACTAACCAGTGCTACCAATTCCCCACTTAATATTCTAATTTGCATGTTGATGATTTCGATTTAAAGCTTTCGTGACTGCAGGGATTCATCTTCTTGGTTCTTTCGGTAAAGTCACGTAGAATGGAAATATGAGACACTGTCTTTCTGACAGACCTGTTCTTCACCTGAGGACGGCTGCTTGCGTTGTGGCCGAAACGTCGTGAGAATATTTAATGTTTTATTTTTATTATTTTATTATTTCCATTCTACGTGACTTTACCGAAAAAACCAAGAAGATGTTCATGATTGTTTACCCAGCGGAGTCTCAATATTCTTCCTAAGGAGGGTCCTGCCAAGTTTTCCCTGTTCGCAGCCAGTGATGATGATGGTGATGCTGCATTGTGTAATCCCAACGGAGTAAATTCTCGCTGATTTTTCAGCATCGGGATGTGTTGTCGAACAACATTTGCATGGGGGGTGGGGAGTGTGGGGAGTGTGGGGGGATTATCGTAGTTATGGAAG